GGTGACCCGCATGGCTCAGTTGATGTCCCTCCTCCCAGGGGGGTCCTCCTTGGTGGGTTGGGGTCCCCACAGTGGCCCCCCCACCACCTTGAGGAGATGGGAGGTCTTCCCCCAAAAAATCAACCCCCCCGAGGTGGAACATGGGTCAGAGACTGATGGGATTGGCTGGGAAGGGAGTCATGGGATGTGGCCAGGATGGGGTTGGGGAGGGGGGTGGGTTGGCACCTCCCCCCACCCCCAAGGAGGGTGGGGGAGGGGATGGGGGGGTTGTCCATGGAAGGGTTGGGGGGGTTACCCTGGTCAAACTGGGCGCTGCAGATCTCCATCTCCGACTTGTTGCCGCTGACGCGGTAAATGCCTTCGGTGCTGAGGCCTGGGGAGGAAGAGGAGGAGACCTCGGGGTGAGGAAGGGGAGGAGGAGGAGACCTTGGGGTGAGGAGGAGGAGGAGGAGACCTCAGGGTGAGGAAGAGGAGGAGGACGAAGAGGAGGAGACCTCGGGGTGAGGAAAGGAAGGAGGAGGAGGATGAAGAGGAGGAGACCTCGAGAGGAGGAAGAGGAGGAGGAGGAGACCTCAGGGGGAGGAAGGGGAGGAGGAGGAGACCTCGGGGTGAGGAGGAGGAGGAGGAGACGACCTTGGGATGAGGAGGAGGAGGAGGAAAAGGAGGAGGAGGAGATCTCGGGGGGAGGAAGAGGAGGAGGAGGAGACCTTGGGATGAGGAAGAGGAAGAGGAGGAGGAGGAGACCTCGGGGGGAGGAAGAGGAGGAGGAGGAGACCGGGGGGGGAGGAGGAGGAGGTGGAGTCGGGGTGAGGAAGGGGAGGAGAAGGAGACCTCGGGGTGAGGAGGAGGAGGAGGAGACCTCGGGGTGAGGAGGAGGAGGAGGAGACCTCGGGGTGAGGAGGAGGAGGAGGAGACCTCGAGGGGAGGAAGAGGAGGAGGAGGAGGAGACGACCTTGGGATGAGGAGGAGGAGGAGGAAAAGGAGGAGGAGGAGATCTCGGGGGGAGGAAGAAGAGAAGGAGACCTCGGGGGGAGGAAGAAGAGGAGGAGACCTTGGGGGGAGGAGGAGGAGACCTTGGGGTGAGGAAGAGGAGGAGGAGACCCTGGGGTGAGGAAGAGGAGGAGGAGGAGACCTCGGGGGGAGGAGGAGGAGGAGGAGGAGACCTCAGGGGGAGGAAGAGCAGCAGCTGCTCCTTAGGCCAAACATTTCCCACTCTCAAGCCCAAGGGCTCCAGGTGGGTCCCCAAAACCACGTCCCCCCTTTGGGGGCTCTGGCCTCGTCCTGGGGGGTGGATCCGGATCTGACTCCGGATCCTGCTCCGGGATCTGACTCCGGATCCTGCTCCGGGATCTGACTCTGGATCCTGCTCCAGGATCCTGCTCCAGGATCTGACTCCAGATCCTGCTCTGGGATCTTGCTCTAGGATCTGACTCCGGATCCTGCTCCAGGATCCTGCTCCGGGATCCTGCTCCGGATCCTGCTCCGGGATCTGGCTCCGGATCCTGCTCCAGGATCCTGCTCCAGGATCTGACTCTGGATCCTGCTCCTGGATCTTGCTCCAGGATCTGACTCCGGATCCTGCTCCAGGATCCTGCTCCGGATCCCAGCTGGGCTCTCACCTGTGGCCTCGATGTACTCGATGCACCTCTCGATGAAGAGGGGGATGGGCCTCTCCGGGGTCACCACCGAGGTCAAGGGGACCCCGAAGTAGCTGCTCTCCCAGGTGGCCTTGGTGAGGGACGGCCGAGGTTTGGGCTTTGGCTTCTGGGGGGGAGTGATGGAACAGCCAATCAGGGGAGGGGGGCGGAGCCACCGGATCCCATGGGAACAGCCCAACCCTTCCCAGTGATCCCAACACCTTGTCATGGATCCCAACAATCCCAATGATCCCAACAATCCCAGTGATCCCAACACCTTGTCATGGATCCCAACCATCCCAATGATCCCAACACCTTGTCATGGATCCCAACCATCCCAATGATCCCAACACCTTGTCATGGATCCCAACCATCCCAATGATCCCAACACCTTGTCATGGATCCCAACCATCCCAATGATCCCAACACCTTGTCATGGATCCCAACAATCCCAATGATCCCAACACCTTGTCATGGATTCCAACCATCCCAATGATCCCAACACCTTGTCCCGGATCCCAACCATCCCAATGATCCCAATACCTTGTCATGGATCCCAACAATCCCAATGATCCCAACCATCCCAATGATCCCAACACCTTGTCATGGATCCCAACCATCCCAATGATCCCAACCATCCCAACCCCTTGTTAGGGATCCCAAGGATCCCAATGCCTGTTATCAATCCCAATGATCCAAATGATCCAAATGCCTCCTTATGGATCCCAACCATCCCAATGATCCCAACACCTTGATATGGATCCCAACAATCCACATGCCCTCGTTATTGACCCCAACGGTCCCAACATCTCATCATGGATCCCAACACCTCCTTATGGATCCCAACCATCCCAGTGATCCCAACACCTTGATATGGATCCCAACAATCCACATGCCCTCGTTATTGACCCCAACGGTCCCAACATCTCATCATGGATCCCAACACCTCCTTATGGATCCCAACCATCCCAGTGATCCCAACACCTTGATATGGATCCCAACAATCCAAATGACCCAAATGCCTCATTATTGACCCCAGAGCCTCGTGATTGATCCAAATGATCCCAACACCTCCTTATGGATCCCAACCACCCCAGTGATCCCAACACCTTGATATGGATCCCAACAATCCACATGCCCTCGTTATTGACCCCAACGGTCCCAACATCTCATCATGGATCCCAACACCTCATTATTGACCCCAGAGCCTCGTGATTGATCCAAATGATCCCAAAGCCCCCAACAATCTCAAGAGACCCAAACAATCCCAAGAGGCCCCGACAATCCCAAGAGGCCCCGACAATCCCACCACCTCCTGATGGATCCCAACACCTCCTTACGGACCCCAACCCCTCATCACCAACCCCAACCCCTCATTCTCCACTTTCCCCAAGACCTCTTCCCAAGACCCACAGATTCCCACCAGCCCCCCTTTTTCCCCCCACCAATTTTGCCAGCGATTCCACCCCCCCCAAAACACCCCCCAACCTCCAAGACCTCCCCCCAAACCCAACCCCAACGCCCCCTCCTCCATTCCCAAGGCCACCTCCCCACCCCAACCTTGGTGGTTCTCCTCAAGCTCCTCAGGATGTTCCTCCTCCTGGGGTCCTCCCCGTCGGCCGCCTCGTAGGGAATGACGGCGTTGTCCCCTTTGTACCCTTGGGAACTGGGATCCTCTTCCTTCTTCCGGATGGGACCCAACTCATCATCACTCCCCAAACTCAGGCTCCCCCGGTAACCGGCGAAACGCCCCAACCTGGCGCAACGCGCCCGGTAGAGCGCGGGTTTGGTGACCCCCAACACCTTCTTGCCCCTCTCCAAGGAGCTGGTGTCCATCTCGCTGTCGGAGCCGTTGCCGCTCCCGTTGGACTGGGCCTTGTTGATGTTGCGGATGGTGATGATCTTGCCCTGGGTGCTGTCGTGGGGCACCGAGTAGATGTTTTCCTCCTCGTTCCGGGGCTTCACCACCGCGTCCATGGGCTCGGCGTAATCTGAGGGGTCGAAGCAGTCGGTGGGCAACCAAGTGCTGGAGGACACTGATTTCCTCTGTCCGTCCCGGTGGCCTTGGTCCAGGTAGGCCAAGTCCCCCTTGGTGAGGTCAAAATGGACGGGGGGTTTCGGCTTCACCGGGGGTGGGACCTTGTTGTTCAGTTTGCTCTCAAAAGTGCTGACGGCGGAGATGAAGGACAAGCTGTCATTGCCTTCCAGCTCCATGGAAAGCTTTGAGTGGTCTTTGGGCAGGGTGGGCATGGAGGGGTCTTCTCTGAAGGGGCTGTAAGTGGGGGGCTCGATGTCCTCCTCCGAGTCCTGCAGGTTGGAGTTGCAGAGAGGGGAACCAGCCCGGGGGGAGTTGAAGACCTCCTCGGTGGTGCTGCAGGCCTCGGCCACGTTGTCGTACATGTGGGTGGCCTCGATGATGGTCTTCTTCTCCACCACGTCCTTGAAGAAGGAGTGGAAGATCTCCAGCTTGTGCTGGGGTTGGCTGCAAGGGATGGTGGTGAACTTGCCGTCGATCTCTTGGGCGATCTCCTCGCCCTCGGTCAACTGCTCCCGGCTCAGGTCGTTGTCCAGGATGTCCAAGGAGCCGTCGGTCAAGGCCACCACCTGGATGGGGATGATGTCCTGCACCTCGCAGAGGAAGGCGCGGAGCGTGGCCAGCGAGGCCTTGCGCTTGGCCGAGTAGAAGACGATGTATCCGTGGACCAAGCGGCTCTTCCGGATGCTGAAGGAGGAATGGTAGGACAAGAGGGAAAGCTCCACCCTCCTCCGGTGGGGCCCGATGGACAATTCCAGGAGGACGGAGCTGGCGCTGGCGCAGGGGGAGGGTCGGTAGGTCTGGGACTGCAGGATGGGGAGCAGGATGTCGTCGGCGCTGAAGGGGTCGCCGCACATCAGGCACATGACGACGCGCAGGTCAACGTCGGCCAGTTCCTTCAGGCTGGGGGTGGTGGAGCCCACCAGGTTGAGGTTCCTTTTGGAGTCCAAGAGCCCTTTGAGGACCTGCCCGATCTGCTTCTCGTTGATGTTGCGGCCGTAGCCGATGCCGGCGGAGGCGGGGGCCAGGAAGACACACTGGAGTTTGCTGGCCACCTGCTGGCCCTGCTGGATCAGGCTGTGCAGGGTCTCCCCGCTCGTGTCCCCCCTCTTGTTGACCAGGATGAGGGTGAGAGGCAGGGGGGCCAAGTGGTTGTCCCTCCTGCCCATGGTGGACTCGCGGCTCTTCTCGATGCTCTCCACCACGTAGGAGAGGGACTCCTTGGAGTTGTAGAGGCAGAGGCAGCCGTGGGGCTGGAAGGTGGGGGTCTGGAAGGAGTTGACGGGGAGGCGGACGTTGCCCTCGATGGGCCGGAGGGACAACTCGTACATCTTGCCCTCGATCACGTACTTGTCGTCGTTGGTGCAGAGGGCCCTGATCTCGTTGGCCAACTCGCGGGCCAACCCGTCCTTGCCCAGGATGACCAGGTTGAGTTTGTCCACGTTGGGATCCGCCAGCAGGTTCTTCTGGTTGCGCTCCGAGGGGCGGATGAAGCGGGAGCTGATCAGGTGCTCGATCCTGGAGTCGACGCAGAGGGGGCAGCTGGGACACGTCTCCTTGGTGGGGTGGTAGACAAAGTGGATGTGCTTCAAGATCAGGGCGTCCCGCTCGGCCTGGAGCTTCTGAAGAGCTTTGAACCTTTGCTCCTCGCCCAGCACCTCCTGGATGACTCCCATCTTCTCCTTGCTGGGCTTGGCGTCCAGCTCCAGTTCGTAAAACAGCTCCGAGTATTCCAGGAGGAGCTCCTGGAATTCCTCCTTGGCCTTCTCTATGATCTGCTTCTGGTGCTTGCTGTAGATGTCCATGTAGATGGACTCTTCCAGCCACATGTAAAAGTCCTCGTTCATGATGAAGCTCCTGGCCTCCTCCCAGGGCTTCCCGGGCGTGATGAAGGGAGAGGTCTCCAAGTTCTCCTTGAAGGCCCTTCTCATCTCTGCCCTTTTCCTCTCGTTCCTCAGTTTCTCCAGGTGGGCCTCGTAGAGCTGCTTGGCAGGTGGGGTCTCCATCAGGTCGAAGGGGATCCGCTCGTTCTCCATGTTGTCCACGTGGCTGGTGGCGTCCCAAGGAGTCTCCTCCAGCACCACGAACCACTTGAGGAAATCCGCCTTGGTCTCCAGGAGCTTCTCCACCTTCAGGCAGCTCAGGTGGTCGATCTCATCCAGGTCTGGGATGAGGGCTTCAAAGGCCTGGGGCAGCACGGCCAGATACATCTTGCGCCGCCGCTCGATGTGCTCCTGCTTGAGGCGGTGGACGTGCTGCAGGAAGAGCTTCTTGGCCTTCTGGGTCCCTTCCAAGTAGACGTAATCCTGGTACTCGGGGGAGTTTTGCATCTCCCTGCTGACGTGGGACCAGGTCTCGTTGTGGTTCTTGACGATCCGACCCACCAGCCACTCGTACTTGTCCTTGGAGGCCGCGATCTGCTGGCTCTGCTGCTTGAGGGCCTCGAAGTAGGGGATGATCTTGGCCTTGCCCCGGCTCTTGTCGATCAGCTGCACCAAAGTGCTGAAGGCCAAGTCGATGTTGACGTTGGACCTGGCCGAGGTCTCCACCACTTGGAGGTTCTTCTTGCTTAAGGCAAAAGTGTGGGCGTCCCGGATGTAACGTTCCACCCCCTCGTCGCACTTGGTCAGCACGACCACCACGGGTTTCTTGGTCTTGGCCACTTGGTTGTAGAGGTTGGAGACGAACTTGAGCTGCTCGTCGAAGTTCCTGTTCATCCCCCTGCTGACGTCGATGCAGAGGAGGAACCCGTCCACCAGCAGCTTCCCCTCGGGCATCTGCTTCTGCTCAAAGTCCTGCTCCAACCCCAACTGGTCAGTGCAAAAATACATCAGCTTCTCGGCCGAGGCCAACTTGGTGGCCGCCGCCCTCTTGATGTAGGGCTGGAGGGCCGTGCTGCGGTGGGGTTGGAAAGTCTGGTCATCAATGAACTCCGTCTGCTCCACCACGTGAGTCCTACAATCCACACAGTCCTCCAGGGACCGTGTGACCTCCCCCCAGTAAAGGAAGTGGTCGTTGTTGACCACCCTTCCCCCAAAGTCACTGGTGCTGAGGACCGAGGTGTGGTCCAGGTGGAACTCGTCCGCGCTGGGCCGGACGAAGCGGTTGCAGAGGCAGGATTTCCCAATCCCACATTGTCCTTTCTCTTTCTCCGTCCCGGATAATCCCACCACGCTAACGTTGTAGGTGGGGACGCGGACATCTTGCTTTCTGGCCATCATCATCCTCCTCACATCCTGTCCCCCTCCAAACGCTGCTTCCGAGAGGATTCGGCGCTTCCCGGAGAAGGGGGGTTGAGGTTTCCCTCAAGCCAAGAAGGAACTTGGGGAGATGAAGTTGGTCGTTCCCATCCTGGATGGACCAGAAGAGCTTCAGTTCTTGCACGTCGCCGGCGTCGGGCGCCCGACGTTCCCCCCTAGGGAGGAAGAAGAACCAAAACATCAGCGTTTCCCACCTCAAGAGACGCCCAAAAAGGACCTAATTTTGCCCAAAGAGATTGATTAAATCTCAGACCATGATTCAAATCGTGAGATCTTGAAGAAAAAACCCACAAAAGAAGCCACCGAGATCCCACCAAAGCCTTGGGAGGAGGAGGAGCCCAACGTGGCCCAAGCACCAACACGAGGGGGTTTTCCTGGTGGGAACATCCCTAATGGATCCTCCTCTGAGGATGAGGGGGAGGTTGGATGGGGCCTGGTCTGGTGGAAGATGCTCCTGCCCGTGGATCTTTGAAGGTCCCACCAACCCAAAAACCTTCTGGGACTCCATGGACAGGCCTTGGAGCAACCTGGTCCAGTGGAAGATGCTCCTGCCCGTGGATCTTTGAAGGAGTTTGGGCTCAAAACAAAGAGTTTGGGCCTGAAACCAAAGGGTTTGGGCATAAACACAAGGAATTTGGGCTTAAAACAAAGTTGAGGGGTTTGGGCCTGAAAGGAAAGGGTTTGGGCTTCCCAACAAAGAGTTTGGGTCTAAAAATGAGGATTTGGGGCATAAGCACAAGGAGTTTGGGCCTAAAAACAAAGTTGAAGGGTTTGGGTCTAAAACTAAAGAAATTGGGCCTAAAAGCAAAGGGTTTGGGCCTAAAACCAACAAGTTTAAGAGTCTGGGTGACAAAAGAAAGAGTTTGGGCCAAAAAATGAGGAATTTGGGCAATTTTGCAGCCTCAAAACTAAAGAATTTGGGCCTAAAACCAAAGAGTTTGGGGTTCCGAACAAAGAGTTTGGGTCTAAAAATGAGGATCTGGGGCATAAGCACAAGGAGTTTGGGCCTAAAAACAAAGTTGAGGGGTTTGGGTCTAAAACTAAAGAATTTGGGCCTAAAACCAGAGTTTGGGCCTAAAAACAACAAGTTTAAGAGTCTGGGTGTCAAAAGAAGGAGTTTGGGCCTAAAAATGAGGAATTTGGGCAATTTTGCAGCCTCTTCCACGCCCTGTTCTTTCCCCCAGCCCACGTGTCCTCCCTCCAGGCAAGTCAAAAGGTGACAGCAGCAGGAGATGCCACCTCCAGGCCCTCAACCCTTTAATTACTGTAACTAATTAACTCCTGGGTGATTGGAGGGAATGTGGCTCCTCCCCCCAGGCTGAGATGGCTCCTTCTCCTGGGTTTTTTGCCTCAATTGTCACAGTTTCTCCCCATTTTGGAGGTTGAGCCCAGGTGGGGCTTCTCCTCCATCTCCCCCATTCCCAGAGGTTCCTCCTCCTCCATCTCCCCCATTCCCAGAGGTTCCTCCTCCTCCATCTCCCCCAATTCCAGAGGTTCCTCCTCCTCCATCTCCCCCATTCCCAGAGGTTCCTCCTCCTCCATCTCCCCCATTCCCAGAGGTTCCTCCTCCTCCATCTCCCCCATTCCCAAAGGTTCCTCCTCCTCCATCCTCCCCCATTCCCAAAGGTTCCTCCCCCCACCAACCACCCCAATTCCAAACAAACCAAGGGGACAAAGTCCCAACGTCCTGGATGTTCCCTCAGCCAAGGGTACAAAGACCAACCCTTGGGTCCTGAGGAACCATCATCACCTTTCCAGGACAACTCCTGGTGGCCCCAAAATTCCTGATTCCCACTTGATTCCCAGGAATTCTTGAGTTCCCACCAAAAAAAAAAACATCAACCCAACTGGGTTGAGCTGGAAAATTCACCCAAGAACGTGGGAAATTCCACAGAGGAGGGAATTTTGGGGAAAACTGGAGGGAACTGAAGGGAAAAAAGGAGGGAATTCCAGGGGGAAAAAAGGAGGGAATTCCAGGGGAAAAAAAAGGAGCAAGAAATTTGAAAACAAATGGAGAAAATTTCCCCAATTCCTCAAAAATTCCACCTTTCCAAGAACCTCCCGGGAGGGTTTGGAGCCCAAAAAGCTCCAGGAACCTGAGGAGATTGGGGAGGAATTCCAGAAAATGGTGGGAAAATCCCAAGGATCCCCTGAAATTCCCCCAAATTCCCCTCCAAATCCATAAAATTCCTCCAAAATTCCCAATTTCCTCCCAAACTCCAGAAAATTCCTCCAAAATTCCCCCCCAAATTCCATAAAATTCCTCAAAATGATCCCCAAATGCAATAAAATTTCCCCCCAAATTCAAGAAAATTCACAATTTCCCCCAAATTCAATAAAATTCCCCCCAAAATTCCATAAAGTTCCTCCAAAAATCCCTCAAAATTCAATAAAATTCCCCAAAATTCAATAAAATTCCCCAAATTCCATCAAATTCCCCCCAAAATCCCATCAAATCCCCCCCAAGTTCCCTAAAATTCCTCCCAAATTCCCATTTTCCCCCAAATTCTGTAAAATTCCTCCCAAATTTCCCTAAATTCCATCAAATTCTCCCCAATTTCTCCTCAAACTTCCAAAATTCCCTAAAATTGCCCCAAATTTCCCAACAAGTGGAATTTCCCTCCCCCCCTTGAAGCCACAAAAGCCCCTTTTATTGGGGGTGGGGGGAATAATAAGTTAATAATCAATTATTAATTAATAATTAATTAATATTAATTGCCCCTGATCCTAAACCTCCAAAGGGAGAAAAAGGAGCAGCTTAAAAACCCAAGTGATTAGTGGAATTAATGGGGTAAAAAGATTCAATTAATCAATTAATCAATCAATTAATGATTCGATTATCAATTCATCCATTAATTAATCAGCACAGGTCATGAAATGACATCACCAAGGAGGGGGTTAATCAGTTAATTACCGGGGGCTCCTGAAGTTCCAGCAGCTCCTGGAGGGACAAATATTAGGGAATAATTAATTAATCAATGAAATGAATAAAGGGGTGAATAAAATGATAACGATTAAGGAATTAACCCCCCCAATTAATGAAAACACAATAATAATTAATAAAACCCACCAATCAATAGGAAAAGGGATCAAGGTTCATCATCCCCCCCCCAATAAATGGGAGCTCCCCCAACCCATCAATTAATAACCATTAATACTTATTTTAAAAACTAATTAATAGTCATTAATAACTATTAATAATTGTTTTTAAAGGACTTATTAACATAATTTATCAGAGAGATCAAAGTGGGGGGGGTCACAGCCCCACCCCCCCATTTCCCACCCCCCCCCCACTTTAAGAGAAGCCCATATTAATTGCCCCTAATCCTAACAAACCTCCAAAGAGAAGAATCAGCTTAAAAACCCAAGTGATTAGTGGAACTAATGGGGTAAAAAGATTCAATTAATCAATCAATTAATAACTCAATTATCAATTCATCCATTAATTAATCACCACAGGTCATGAAATGACATCACCAAGGAGG